CAGAGCCAAAGATGCTGATGTGGGCAGACAGGGAGTCCACCGCAGTCACTGGCCAGTCCCTTTTCTGTAGTCGGTTCTTCAGCTTCTCAGCTCCAAGGTCCAAGGAAATCTAAGTCTGAACTCTCCAAGGAAATCTACTTCTGAACTCCTCCAAAGCATTTCTTCTTCCTCCCCTTACTTTGTGGAAGCACGTGGTAACTGAGACACCCAATTGATGCAGGCTCGGTGAGTCGAGGAGTCGAAAGAAAGATCTCTTGAACTCTCAAGGTCTGGCAGTAGTGCTCTTTTATTCAGAGAATAGGATGGGGACAGGACCTATGGGCAGTAAGATCTGTCATGTATTGGGGGTTAGAGCTAAATTTAGAAGGCATAGGTATGTGAGCTATTTCTTTACAAGACAAAGGAAAGATCATGAAAAAAGTCATTAAAATGGTATCAGTGCAGGTGGGGTCTGGTTGTTGGGTGTTCCTGTAACTTTGGATAGAAATCAGAGTGGACTAAGTCAGGATGTCCTATGCTTTCCGAGGGTGATATAGATCAGTATGTAGGGCAGGATGTCTTGGGCTTCTCCCTGGGGCAGGGGCAGCCTTGATCCTCATCACAATGAGCTCTGTAGCTAATGCTGCTCCTTGCTGCCCATGCAGGGGACCCTGGCTCCCTCCTGCCCAGGTCCCTTCATCAACATCAGGTTTCCAGGAAGCCATCTCAGGAGCTTCTTTAGGCAAGAGCTGGAGTATCCAAAGGGATGTTCCATTGGGGCTGCAACGAGTCCAAGAGCATGGGAAGAACTTTCCAGACACCTCTGAGGGGCTCTCAGTACATCCCATGAACTCCATTCACACCTCCACGGGATCCTCAGAGCAGGACCAAGGGGGAGTCCAAGGAAAGAAGCTGCTTAGCACCTGGGCCTCCCACACTGTTGTGACCCCAGAGTCCACTCTTCTTTGCCCCCTGCTTCTTTGCTCCCCACTCCTCTCTGGTGAGTCCACTTTCCTTGCACCTGTCCCTGCTTCATGTCTCAGTCTTTCCAAAGGCCGAGTGATGAACCCACCTTCCTGTCCATTCCCTGGTGGTCAGTCTGAGTGTGGACACAATGCTGCTCCAGGCACGGGTCAGCAGCCAGGGTGGTGAGGCCATGGGGTTTTCTGGACCATGCACAGCAGGGACAGGTGGATGGTAATGCCATTGGGCAGGGGAGGTGGGTTCTGAGAATGAAAAGGTCACCTAAATGGCAGAAAGTGGCCCAGAGTCACAGAGCATCCCTGACCTTTATCTCCTGCTGATACGTTGGATCTAGTTGGCCTGAGAACAAGGCCCCAGTCTTCGCAGGGGGCCAATGGCTGATGCCTTGTTTTGTGTGTCTGTGGTGTGTCTGTGTATATGCATGTGTGTTTGTGTTTGTGTCTGTAGTCTTTATGTGAGTGTCTGTGGTGTGTGTGTGTGTTTCTTTGGTCTGTTTGCATATGTGTGTGTGTGTTTGTGGTTTCTCTGTGTGCGTCTGAGGTGTGTGTGTCTGTACCTATTTTTGAAGTGTATATCTGTTGCTGCCCAATGTGGGTCGTCTGCTCGCCTCAGGACACACCAATAGTCAGGAGGCAAGGTGGTAGGAAAGAAAGGACTTTATTACAGCTTGCTAGCAAGAGGGAAGATGGCCGACTCATATCCAAAAGAAACATCTTCCTGAACAAAGACTACAGGCCCATCACAGAAGGAGCTATTCTCCAGGTGGGGGAGGCGGCTTGTCTCAGCATGGGGGCAGACATCTGGTCCCAGTTCCTGATAGTCCTTTGTTTTACTGGATACGCATCAGAATGGAGAAATGCCCTACATCCTGATCTTTCACTTGTCCTTGATGATGGCTATCAGCATAGGCTCTCTGCCCTGGGCTCCTCACATTCCTAAGGAACTCAAAAGAACAGTTGGCAATGTAAAACAGCTGAGAGGGGCCACAAAATCTACAGAGCATGTCTGGCGCTAGGCAGTCAGAGGTCACTTAAAGTTACAATATGGTTTCCTTTCTACAGTATGGCTTCTCTTATGCCAACCTTATGTTGAGCCCGCATCATATGTGCCTCTGTGTGCATATATACGTGCATCTGTGGTGTTTCTGTGTGCATGTCTAAGCTCTGTGTGTCTGTGTAAAGTGTCTATTGTGTGTGAGCATATGTGTACATACTCAAATGTCAGTTTCTCAATGTTAATGTCCACGGAACATACTGAAGAGTATAATCCTTCCCATATTCCCTATATTATCTTTCCTGTTTCATTTTTCTCCAAACTCCTTATCACTGATGCGGGGTCGGTGAGCCAAGGAGTCGAAAGAAAGATTTCTTAGACTCTCAAGATCTGGCAGTGGTGCTCTTTTATTTAGAGAATAGTGTGGAATAGCATGGGGACAGGACCCATGGGCAGGCAGAGCTCCTGCTGCTGCCACTGCTGCTGCCCCCGCTGGCATGGGGACAGGACTCATGGGCAGGCAGAGCTGGTGCGTGGGGACAGGACCCACGGGCGGTCAGAGCTCCTGCTGCTGCCCCCGCTGGCATGGGGACAGGACCCATGGGCAGGCAGAGCTGGTGCGTGGGGACAAGACCCACGGGCAGTCAGAGCTCCTGCTGCTGCCGCTGCTGCTGCCCCCGCTGGCATGGGGACAGGACCCATGGGCAGGCAGAGCTGGTGTGTGGGGACAAGACCCACAGGCAGTCAGAGCTCCTGCTGCTGCCGCATGGGGACAGGACCCATGGGCAGTCAGAGCTGGTGCGTGGGGACAGGACCCACGGGCAGTCAGAGCTCCTGCTGCTGCCGCTGCTGCTGCCCCCGCTGGCATGGGGACAGGACCCATGGGCAGGCAGAGCTGGTTCGTGGGGACAGGACCCACGGGCAGTCAGAGCTCCTGCTGCTGCCGCTGCTGCTGCCCCCGCTGGCATGGGGACAGGTCCCATGGGCAGGCAGAGCTAGTGTGTGGGGACAAGACCCACAGGCAGTCAGAGCTCCTGCTGCTGCCCCGAGTTGAGGGTTAGGGCTAATTTTATAAGGCATGGGTACGTGACTTATTTTTACTGGAGAAAAGAAAAGATGATGTAAAAAGTCATTAAATGATTTCAGTGCAGATGGGGTCTGGTTATTGTGCGGTCATATAACTTTAGATACAAATCTGGCCATATAGATCGGCACGTAGGTGAGGATGCCCTGGGCTTCTCTCCCTGGGGCAGTCCTAATTCATACCATAAAAAAAGTCCACTGGGTCATATAGTTTGGCATGTAGGCCAGGTCACCTTGGGCTTCTCTAGCTGGGGCAGCCTTAATCCACATCATAAACCCCCCCTGAACCCATTTGGCCCCGAAATCTTTTGGGGATATGGACGACGGTCAGTCTTCTGTAACTACTTCCGGCTGTACAAGGTCGTAGAGCTGTCCCTAAATGGGGCCATAGGTATAGGTAGGAAGTTCAGTGGACCGGAAGGCTGCACCCGTGGAGTCCAAGCCTGACAAGGTGTACAGATCCTCTGGAGACGAGAGAATCATTTGATGAGAGGTGGCCCAGGAGGTGAAACTTTGTTGACATGCGGAAGACAAACAATGAAACAGACAACAAATTATAATAGGAAATACTAGCAATATGATTAACCCAATGAATAAGATTTTGGTAGTAGTCTAGAAACCTGGTCCTGACCAGGAGTTCAACCAGTCTTTTAGAGATAGGGGAGGGTCAGACATGGACTTAATTTGGTGGCTCATATCAGATAGGAAGCCGGAGATATTTTGATGGTAGTCAGGAATATAGACACAACATTCAGTTTTTATAATGGCACAGGTGCCCCCCTGTGCTGCTGTCAAGACATCCAGTGCCATTCAGTTTTGGAGGACTGCCTTACACATTTGGGATACTTCTAAATTGAGCAGCGAAAGGCTATGTTGTGTATCATTTAATGCCTTCATAGTAAATTTGTTTAGGACTTCCATGGGCCAGATGACACTTTCGATTCCTAACTGGGGAAGGAAAATTGAGGCAACGTGGTCATACCAGTGGAAGACAGAGCAGGTCCAGCGCTGTTGCAGGTTGGGTAGGTTAGCAGGAGGAGATATAGTAAATGTAGACCTTGCATCCAGACAAAGCCTAGAGTGCATCGTCCAATCCATCCAGGTGGCAGCCAAGGCCATAAGTTGGAGCCACATAGCCACTGAGTGCCATTAGGGGCTAACCAAGGCGTGCTGGGCCGTCTATCCCAGTCAGTCTCAAACCAATCAGTATTTTTTAAGGTTATGATATGAGAACACATATGACAGGGAATTTTCCCATAGGTCGGGTGCTATTAGGCCATGTATCACAGGTGTGATTGGTTTGTTCCCAACATAGAGTGGACTTTTACTGAGTTGATCACTAGCAGGAGTGAGCCAAATATATTCGTCCCAAATTTGATATAGTCCATCCTGTGTGTATGAATAAGTTGGGGACTTTACCTTTGGAACTTGTCGTTTATGATCCACCTGTGACAAGGCAACACTAGTTAGTGTTTGGGCAGTAGTGTTGAAGGAAAAGGTTTGCTTGTGACCAGGGAACTCCCAGGTATCAGAGATGGATGGCCACAAGGAAACATTATGGTTAGTAACAGATGAATCTTGCAGAAGAGAAGAGCTAGAATCTAATATCCATGAATGTGTACTATACCTTCTACTGAAACATAATTTTTTCTCTCTAAAATCACCCTCATTTTTATAAAAGATAGCCAAATTAAGATGAACTGGTCTGCCAATTATTTACATAAGTGCAGCAAGAATACCAATTGATTATACAGGCTTTTTTAAATCTGCTTTGCTGGAATTTTTTTTTTTATGAGGAATCTCAGATTGAACTGTAAAGGCCTCTTGAGGCCAGAAAAGCCAAGCCAAGGACTTGCCATCAGATTTTGCCTGCAGTACCTCCAGATTTGGGTGGACTTCTCTCTTCTCAAGGTCCTCCAAAATATTCTGAGGTT